TGGGATCAAACCCTGAGTCGGGCTTCCTGCTTGGCGGGGAGTCTGCTTCTCCCTCTCTCTACCCCTCCTCCCTGCTTGTGCTCGCTCTCTCTCAAGATAAATAAATAAAATCTTAAAAAAAAAAAAAAACATATCTGAAGGCTACTCCTGAAGGCATAAGACTAATCACTTGGCTGGTGAAAAATGAATCTAGTGGAGCCTACTCACTCACTCATAAAAAAATATTCCTCCTGGACCCACCACGTATCTAGCACTCACATGGGTTAATTTCACAGTCATAGAGAAGCCTTTAGGTAAACAGGTGTCTACATTTTTCTTTTCTGTTTTTTTTTTTTTTTTTGGTTCTAGAAACCCTGAAAGGAGTTTAGAGCATTAAGGCAAAAGCATGAATTCTAACTCTATAACTAGATGAGGAATACTTATATTTCTTTTATTAGAGGGAAGATATTTGAGAAACTCTGAAAGCTCAGATACAAATATATACCTTTCCTCCTCTTTTCCTTTTAAGCAAAATTTTAACTAAATTTTAGTTGATATGAGTGACAGAAAATTCAGACTGTGACCAGAAGAACTAAAGGAAGGCGCCTCCTTACTTTTGTTCCCTTTATTAAACAGGAGGGATTCGAGAGTTCTGATTTATTTCTCTTGTTCCCTTTTATTGTTCATGAACTTAAGGCTGCATTCCATTGACTCCAAAGTAATTTCTGAAAAAAGATCTGCTGACATTACAGGGTATCTGGATCATTAACCATGTCAGTGCTGACCGAGGAAATAATGTTCTGGCAGAAAATAGTTATTTGTTTAAAACAAAGGCTGAGATGCTGCCGTTGCGCACATCCTTAGAGATGGCATATAGGTTATTTATTTTTGTGGAAAGTTCTCAGGAAACCTGGAAGCTAAAGATAATGCTGTTGATTAGCAAGCAGAATTAGAAATATTGTGTGTATCCTCCTCATTCTGTCCTATTCCTCCTAGAAAATAAAATTGCCAACTTGGTGTCCCCTAATTTTTAGGGCATCCATCTTTTTGTTCCATTGGGGGATGTACTAGTCATGGTACGGGGAGGGAGGTTATGATAGGGTACAAAAATGAATGGTAAGGGGAAGAAGCTGACTTGAAAAATAGATCCCATGGAGAAGAGTCGAAGGAATAAAGAATCTTTTGCTTGAAAAAAAGAAAAGACGGTTTCTCACAATTTTTCATTTATAACAGAGGTTGGTAAATGTCTTTTTTGTGTGTGGACAGAGGGGCACTACCAGATTACATAGTGATATTATGGAAATATTATGCTGGCATATATATAATAAGAAAGAAAACGAATTTACACATTTTTCTAATGAAATTAAAAATATAATAATGGAGGGCAATTTTTTTCCAATGCTTGTTTACCAAGGAGAAGCCTGGAATTTGTGGGGGGAAGGACAACATTTGGCTTAACTGGGATTATAAGTAGTGTTCCCTATTTTAAAATCATTACAAATACTCATCTGTAAAAACTCCTATTTCACAATCTATACAAAAGTAGGTGCTGAGCTGCATTTAGTGCATAAGTCACAGTTTTCTGGCCTCTTCTATGGAGTCTTTTTCAACCCTGAGAAGCAGTTATTCTCAGCATCCATCAGGAATTGCTTTAGAGGGAATGAACATGAATGTCAGTGATAGGAATCAGGGCTCTATATAGGAAAACATAGAGTAGGCAAGGGCTGTGGGGACAGAAATATAGGTAATTAACTAACACTTCTGCTGTCTGAACTCAGAGAAAAAAAAAATCTCTTGAAAGTCTATATACTCCATGCTATATCCAGACAATATTTTTTTTCTAGGTGATGGACAAGTGTCAGTTTTTATGTTTCTCCCCCTCTACCATGTAGTTTTTAAGCTTTGTTTTGTTAATACCCAACATCAATTTTACCTGTAAATAAGGTCTGGACCTAAAAATAACCTATTCTCCATTAAGGTCCATCAATTTCTATGAAGTAAACGCTATGTAAGAATTTCCTATAAAGCAATATACTTATAAATACACTGCCTGGATTTTTTTTTTCATATTTCTTTTATTGTAGAGTAAAACTCCATTCTAAGGTACCATAATTTATGGGGGATTAGGTTTTATTGCAGACAAAAATGACCTTCCTCTAATACAGGGGTAGACGTTCAATGTTGACTAATATTATGTCACATAAACACCAGTGTCCTGGTTATTTGAAAAAGAAGGCTCTACCTTTAAGATAAAACATCCGTGTTAACATTTTGCAAGCTCCTTCACATCACAACTGTTAGATTTGTTGTCAAGAAGGAAAACTCAGCAAACACATACCGTGCCTACATTTAATGCTTTTGCTCAAGATAGAAACAATTTTAAAAAGCAACTTAATTTTAGCAGAGTGTTCCAAACCTGCTTGTTTCTCTTCCTTAAGCCTTACTTTTGTAGAGTTTGTAGAGAATGTAATATTTTCCTCATCCTATACTTGATCTTAGCCAAAAGGCCAAGAAGAGATTTTCCTCATCCTAAAATAAGTCTGTTGGGCATAACACTTCTCTGTGTAATGTCCACCAATTCTGTAAGAATCAGGCTAGATGTCTTCTTCTCTAGGAAACTCCTCTTACTGGCCCTCGCGCCCAGATAGGGCACTACCTCCTTGTGCTCCCGCAACACCATGCCCACATTCCTACCATTACACTTCCATACTGTGTTAGCGGTCTGTTTAAAATTCCATCCAGTCTAACCCAGTTAGACTTTGGGCAACTTTAAGGCAGAGGTCACATCTTATTCACATCGCTCTATCCCAGGCACCTAAGCACAGGGCCGAACACGCAGTAGGAGCTCGTTATAAGCTTTCTAAATTAAAAGGGAAGTGCATGGATGCACTGAGGGACAACTAGACAAGTACAGAAGTTCTAGTTTCCCCCAGGGATGGACTCGCACTCTTTTCCTCACTGCTTTCCAAGGAGGTCAGTGTGACTATGACATGATTCTGGATGTCGGATAAGGCTGAGGAGCACTAAACAGGAAGAGGAAAAGGAGGTGCCCAAGAATGAGAAAGGCCCATTACCTGTGAGTGGGAGGAATACGACACGGCCCATGGTTGCTGGAGCTAGTTAGGGCCTTTGTAATGTTGGCTGCAGGGGTGGCTGCCAAATCACTGCCTCTTCTTTTCTTCCTTCTCTCCCTCCCTCCCATCCTTCCTTTTCTTTATTGTTTATTTACTTTTTAGTTCATCCCTACTATTTTGTAACTCATTTTTGCAATTCCCTATCTCTGCTGAAAGGACCCAAGGAAGCTCTGCTTGGCAAAACTCTATGGGGTGAAAACCCCCGTTCCTGCTCTTTCTCCTCTCCCTTCCATCCTGTGGTGATGAGGAAAGAAAGTAGGAGGATCCTATCACTTTTTCATTGCTGAATATTTGGAGACTTTTCCTTTTGTTTGAATATGGGTGGTAGGGTTGAGGGAGGGAGAAAAGCTTTTTTTCGTGGGAGCCTCTTCTTTGTCCTTTAATACCAGCCCTCGAAAAACCTTTTATAGACTCCTCAATGCTCAGGGCTGCAGTACATCCACAGATTCCTTCCCACATCTGTAGTGCTCTTCTCATTGCCTCTACCCCCCCGCCCTTTTTTTTGGATGGGTTCAGCTTCCTGTAAGGAGTTAAACATGTCTTTGATATCTGGCCAACCTGTGTTTAGCCCCTTCTCCTCCTGCCCCAAATTTCAGCTCCATTTCTAGCCACTGAAGCTGAGGAATAAGCTATAGATGAGCAACTGGAAGACTAACCACTCACTGCCTGCCCACCTGCATAGTCATGATCTGGGGAGCCTGGCGCTGGGGCTGGCCTGCCCAGGGCCCCATGGAACATTGGCTGGAGACTCCGGGAGGGTAGAGGTGTGGAAATGGCTAGTTTCCACATTCACTGTGTCTAAGTCCTATGCCATTTATGCAAAAACCGTGTGTAAGTACTCAAGAGAACATTATGGCTTTCATTTTTCTAATCCATCCAATACTAATTAGAAAATGAGAACAGTTATTAATTTTTACAGCAGTCAGTTTTCAAAAAGAAAAGAGTAAGTTCATCTACATGAGCTATGAGGCAATTTTGCTCTCCAGAAAAATGGATGTGGGGATCCGATGGGGGCAGTGATGCAGCAGAAGACGCAAACGGCTTGCTGTGATTAGTGACCTGGTCAGTGGTCAGTGGCTGCTGACATTTTAAAAAATTTGGGAACAAGTTGAAGCAATTTCCTTTGTTTCTTCAAGTATTATTGCCTCTTTTCATGCTGTGGTCTGATGTAGGCAAATGTAGTTAATACTCTGATACAAAGGGCTAATTTTGTAGCTTCAGAGAGAAACTTCTGTGCCTTCCAGGAGCTTGTAAACATTTTTCTACACTTGTGAGGGAAACACAGATATAAAGAGGACTTAATATCTGATGTTTTATAATGTTTGTAGAAACCATTCTGATGGCACTGCATGGACAATACCAAGGCTAGAGAAAAGAAGAAAAATATCCAGCCAGATTTAAACCATCCCAAGGGGGAAGAAAAAAGGGGGTGCCTGGGAGGCTCAGTCGTTAAGCGTCTGCCTTCGGCTCAGGTCATGATCCCAGAGTCCTGGGATGGAGCCCCACATCGGGCTCCCTGCTCAAGCGGGAAGCCTGCTTCTCCCTCTCCCACTCCCCCTGCTTGTGTTCCCTCTCTCCAATGCGTCTCTCTGTGTCAAATAAATAAATAAAATCTTAAAAAAAAAAAACAAAAACCATCCCAAGGACAGGATTTCCATATATATCCAGAGGCTTATCCATTTCAATACTTTAGCAGTTAAGAGCAATTAAGCCTTCAGAATTATTTATGGATAGTCTCTCTGCCATTTGTGCATCGTGATACTCTTTACTGCTGTGTAAACATATTTTTATCAACACTTACAAGACAACCAGTTTTAATAAACAAAGTAACAAACGTAAACTATAGGACTCAGGAGGGTAATTAGTCCAAACAACTGGCATACTTACAGTTGCATTTCTTCTGAACAAACCTAAGCTTGCATGCTGTCCTGTAGGTGGAGAGTCGGATACGATCCAGATCTTGAGCCCCTGGTAGGGGGAGAAAAGTACACATATGGTATGCCATGTGTGTGGAAAGGGATTTGTAATATTTATAAGGAAAACGACAATAGATATTATAACCCATTCACTTAACTTGATTTTTATTTTTATTAGAATACAAATATAACTTTCAGACTTGAAAAGGTCTGCCTCATATCCCTCAGGTTCTAGGGGAAGAGAGCACACGTAGCCAGCACGTTGGTTGTCGACCATGTTCATGGGCCGAGGAACACGACCTCAGTCCTGTGGTGTATTCCACTTCCGAGAACAATCTGCTCAAGTTGTGACTTTAAATAGCAAGATGATAGCAGTATCATCAAATAACCATTTTAAATGCACTGTGATTGGTCCTCAGAATATGGCTGCGAGGTGAGCACTCGCTGAATATGGGGTATCTCTCCTGTGTGACCTTAGGTCAACTGCTTTTATTTATTTTTATTTTTTATTTATAGGATTATTTATTTATTTATGTATTTATCTGAGAGAGAGAGAGGGAGGAGAGGGAGAGAGAGCACAAGTAGGGGGGAGGGGCAGAGGGAGAGGAAGAAGCAGACTCCCCGCTGAGCACAGTCTGTGGGGGGTGTGTGTGTGGGGGGGTGGATGCTTGATCCCAGGACCCCAAGATCATGCCCTAAGCCAAAGGCAGATGCTTAACTGACTGAGCCACCCAGGTGCCCAGGTCAACTGCTTTTAGAAACCTCAGTTTTCTCATCTGGAAGTTGGGGATGATGATACTCCTACTACTTATTTCACGGAATTAGAAGACAAATGCGTGACTACACCTAAGCACAGAGAACACTGCCTGGCACATAGTTTGGGCTGTGTATTCATTAGTATTACTAGTGCGTATCCTGCAAACCTTCCTGTCAACCTCAGAGGAGACTCCTTTCCAAAAATAACCACTACTCTTTCTTATACTGAGGCTTCCCGTTCCTCTCTAAAGAGAGCATGGTCCGCATATTCTTGAACTACTTTCCTCATTCTACACTTCTACTCAAGAATCCAGCATGGCTTCTGCTGCTCACCAGGTCTGAATGTTCTGCTGAGAATCCAAGCCCCTCTGTGTGTTCTTTCCATGCCACCAACCCAGTAATATTTCCTACGACTCTCTATCTGGAACCTCTGCCAGGCTCGGGCTGGTGTCCTCACAATGCCCTGCAGATGGGCTGCTTGCCACATCCACACTGGAGTTCCTGGTGACCCTCCTACCCTTTTCTGAATGAGTTGGTCTCTAGATTGTGTCTAGAACATAGCAGACTTTCAACAAATGTCTGTTCTTCTCTGCTTCCAAATATTTGGCTTTCTTTAAGCCCACGTTTATAGTTCGTAACAGATATAAAGACACGGAGCTATATTTTGACATGTGTTGAACTTTACCAGTAAAAGTGCTACATAAGTGTTTCAAAATAGAATAGTTAGGGTAGCAAGTAAATGAAGTGGCCTAGAAATAAGTATATTAGGAGGTCAATTAAGTGCTTTCTTAATGAAACTCGGGATGAATTAGCAAGTGTCTTGCATTGGGAGCATTTAGCATCCCCTTGAATCAAACTGGTCTCTTTAGATTCATTTAAAAATGATATCAATATTCCCATTACTTTATAGCTTTATGAAGCAGATCATTAAATATTTATTTTTACGAGAGTGTATTACTTGACAAACAGGCTCATTGACACAGTGCTTGAAGGATCAAAAGAGATAGGTAGGGCCTACCCTCACCCAGGGCGGGAATTCTCTTAAACATGCTCTCAAGAGATGGACATGGGCACAATGGCCATATAAGATTATTTTCAAAGATAGGGATGATTATAACTTAGTAAAAATAAATGAACTTTAAAGTCAGTAAGCCTTAATCTTTCATTTCCTAGTTGTGTGAACTTTGACAAGTTTTTACTCGGTATCTGATTTCTTCATGTATATGGGGGTAACAACATCAGTTTTACCGGCTCATAATGTCTGAAGCTTGTACCTAGTGAGCACTTAATAGCAGATGGGACTCCTTAAAAGATTTCTTATACCATTTCTGAGCAACAATAAGTGATAGAAATTTCTTTTTTATATTTGAGTTTTAATTTGCATCCTGATAAGTTCAATCCATTTGATCCTTTCTGGATATACATATGCTTTTCTCCCTGCCACTTGATAATTTATTTCTCACACATTGGGAAGCAGCTATCATGATCATGACCAGCATCTTCATTACCATCTGAAGATTATGTACAAATGCCCCTGTCATCATGGAGTTTAGAGTTTAGCTGGGATCATAACTTCTTGACCTTTTAGATTGGAGAGGTTCAATTCTACAGCCATTTCAAGCACAATGTCTACCACAGAGGGAGGCACACAATAGGGCTTCAATACATGCATGTTGCTATTATGATTCTCATTATCATCAGACATGACTTTGAGACCTTTATCCATTCTAGTCTTCCTGCTCTTTGGCTGGCTCATATCTCCTCGAAATGAGATATACAAAATTAACCCAAATGCCACAGTTATTGCCTCGCCTATATAGAATATATAGAAAGGAATCATTACCAACTTTGATAAGGACACTTACTAATGCAATTAAAAAAAATGAATGGCTCATTCTTCTGGCTCTTTTCATTAAAAAGCGGGTTTTAAAAAATCATATGGACCTACATCTGATCAGATTTTTCTGATTTAAATGCTTATTTGGAGGCTAAAGGTAGGATGTTGTATTTATCTGGTTAGTTTCTTTTAATTTTTAGCTCGTGCTTGTAACCATTCTAAAAATTTTGATTTTGCCACTGGCATTTCAAAGGGACTTCCCAGTTTCGTGTCCTCTGTAAATCTGAGAGGCTTCTGTGGAACATGAACTCTCTAGAGACAGAGAGACTATCAGAAATCCCTGAACACTAAATCTGCCTTTTCCTCTGGATGAAGATGTATTTTTATTGATGCTGAGCTTGGCTCAACATTCAAGAGAGTCTCAATATCTGTAAATAAGTTCTTTAAAGAAGACATTAGGGACATAGATTATTTGTGTAAGTTCTGGAAGAATAATGATAAGCCCCAGGTATCAAAGGGCTGCATGTCGCACACAATTAAATGTCTTAGTTCCAGCAAGACCGTATCCTCCGAGGACAGAAACTGTGGCTCCTTGGCACCTCCTTCTCACAGAGGTCCTAGGGGCAATTTGGCAAAGGTGTGTCTCTCCTGCACGTAGTCAAGAGGGGCACAGAGATGATACTTAGGGACAGGAGACTGACCACGTTCCCTGTCCTATCACCATGTGGACTTAACTGACCCTCTGTTTTGTTCGAGTCAGGAAGGGGTCTGAGGGTTTCTTGATGTTTCCTATTTGTATAAATCTTCCTGGCTGAGGATGTAAGCCCTGAATATCAGACAGGATGTGGTGAGCAATGAAACTTAGCTTTTCAGACATTAGCTTTTCACACCACCTTGCACAAAACAATGTTAAGTGGCAACCACAGGATCCATATGGTTCTGGGACCCAAAAAAGCTGAACTGAGACATGCTGCACTGGCTCTTGCTCTGTTTAACCAACTTTTTAAAAATAAATTTATTTGTCTCTGCCCCAGTAAACCATAAACTTAATTCAGTTTTACATGTGTGGTCTTTCTTCTCAAAAGTCTACAAATTTGTAGCCTGCCATGGGAGTAGTCACATGTCTTCTGTGTGCAAGTCGTTGGTTAAAACCAAGGACATGAACAGGGCCACAAATAGACTCTTCTAGTATGCTACTAGAAGCTGTCCTCCAGGTTGACCCAATACTTATTCCTGCAGATATGGTTACACCCAACTATAAATCCACCTAATTGTAGTGATTCAGCTTACATTTCTCCAATACAAGCACACTGTAAGAGACTTTGCCAGTATCTTGCTGAAACTAAGGTTCATTTTTATGCCATAGTATTTTCCTGAGCTACTGGTCTAGTAGCCTTATTAAAAAGGGAAATTAGCTGACTTAATTCCTTTATAAAAAAGAATTTTAATAAATGAATAAAGAAGTCAGTAGAGCAATCCTTTTTCTTAGCATGTTGAAATATCTAGGATTAGCACTATATTTATTATATGATCTGAAAAAAAATCCATCTTATCATAAAACTTAAAAGTTCATGCCGTAGATGCTCAAGAATCTATATTCTCCCTTTTTAATAAAAAATGGGTATAGCAAAAATAAATGAGTATAGTATTTCCCTATTTTTTCTTTTTTGCAATGTCCTCTTAATTATTTCTGGAAAAAAAACGGATGGTATTTTTCCTTTTAGTATTATATCACTGGGATATAATTCTTTAAAACATATAGATACAACTCATTTAAAATCTAATGTATTAGATTTTCTTCATAATAATATAGAGGGGGCTGGGGTAAATAATTAAGGGTGGAGATGAATATTATTTTCTAGACTTCTGTATATATTTGAAACTTTTCAGAATAAAAATGTAAAGCTAATTCACTTAAGGCAACTTGATGCTCTTGTGCCATCTTCTCAAATCTCTCATACCCATGTCATACTTGGAAGAAAGTGATAAAGGCGAAAGCAAAGATGCAGTTAAGAAATTCTGATTGATTACAGGCCTGCCTGGGTGGCTCAGTCAGTTAAGTGTACCACTCTTAATTTTGGCTCAGGTCATGATCTCAGGGTTGTGAGATCAAGCCCTGTGTCGGGCCCCACAATCCCCCCCCCCATCTCTTCCTCTCTTAAAAAAAAAAAAGAAATTCTGATTGATCACACTGCTATATTCTACAAATCCTGTTTTTCCTTTCTTTTGTTCTTCCTTCCAAGATTTTTCTCCTCTCTTCCTCTCTGTCCTTCCTTTCCTCACTCTCTCCCTTCCTCCCTCCTACATTTTTCTTTTTCTTTCTTTCTTTCTTTCTTTCTCTTTCTTTCTTTCTCTCTCCCTCTTTCTCTTTCTTTCTTCTTT